GAGGGCGGGATGCCGGAGCGGAGGGCGGGATGCCGGAGCCGTGCCGGGCGCTCGGGGCTCTTTCCCGGGCCGCTCCGGCCCCGGCGCTCCGGGCCCGCCCGGCCAAAGTCCTGCGCCATGAGCGGGGCCCCGGGCGGCCGCCGCCCGACCTTCCCCGGGCTCCCAGGTAGGGCCGGGGCCGGGGGTTTTGGGGAGGCTCGGGGCTCTCGGAGCCCCGCACCCAGTGTCGGTCCCCGCAGGAGAGCGGGTGCTCGAGGAGGCGGCGGGCGCCCGGCAGCGCTGCGGGAACGGCGGCGGCTCCGTCCCGGGGACGCTGCTCTGCACCAACCGCCGCCTCGCCTTCCTGGCCGGCCAGGTGCGACGGAAACACCGGGAACACCGGGAATAGCGGGAACGGGACCCCTGCCCCGGCGCGACCCCATCCCAGCGCATCCCGAGCCCATTCCGAACCCGTCCCACCGCACCCCCGGCTCCCGCCCCAGCCCATCCTGGCTCTGCGGAACCGCCGTGCTCGCCCTGGGAACTCCTCATGGGTGCAGATCCATCCCCACCACCCTTCCTGGGACTGGGGGGACACTCTGGGGCAGTTCCCAGCCCTCCCCACTCTCCCGCAGGCTCCTGGCTCCCGTGGCCTCCTCCACTCCGAGGACGAGGTGGCCCTGCCCTGCATCCACAAACTGGTGGCAGGTAAATGGGGACACCTGGGGGCTCGAGGGATGAGCTGGGCAGGTCTCGGGGCTCAGCTGGCCCTGACAGCCTCATCCCCCTGACCCCAGCCAGCAGCTTCTCCAAGCCCAAGGTGCTGACGGCCGCCTCCACCCTCAAGTTCATCCCCGAGGAACTCACCGTCTTCTGTCGGGATTTCCGCCTGCTCCACTTCTACTTCCCCGAGAGCGGCTTGGCTCCGCAGGCGTTCCGGGTACGCCGGGGAGGTGCAGGAGGGTCGCACCCTCACTCTGGGCTACCCGCGGCTCCGAGGAAGCCTGGGGGGGGCTCACGCCTCACACCCCAGCCCTGGCTGCCCTCGCAGGTGGCCAACGCCATCGCACAGGCACGGGAGGCGGCTGCGTGGCTCGGAGATGCTGCCGAGGCACACGACGGCTGCTCCAGCCGTGGAGGAGCCGCCCCAGAAGAGGAGGAGGAGGATGAGGAGGAAGGCTCGTCCACCGTGCTGCTCTTCGAGAGCCTGCGGGACTGGGAGAAGGAGCTGCAGCGTCTGGGCGCTGCGGGCTGGAGGGTGAGCGCCGTCAATGAGCGCTTCGACATGGCCCCGAGGTACAGCCCCGGGGGTCCCCAGCACTGTCTGAGCCACTGGAAATGGCACCCGAGATTTGGGGGACCCCACCCGTGTCCCACCTTCCCACAGCCTCCCCCAGTACCTCTGGGTGCCCAGTGGGCTTCTGGACCACGACCTCAAGCGAACTTTTGGCCACTTTCAGGAGCGACGGGTGCCTGTGAGTGCCTGGGCAGGGTGGGGGGCACTGGGAGGGGATGTGGGGGTGTCACCCCGATTTTTTTGCAGCGCCTGTGCTGGCACCACCCGGGTGGAGGGGACCTGCTGAGAGCTGCCAGCTTTCACCGGGCCTCGGAGCCAGGCAGCGAGGATGTGAGGTGGGTGCCAGGGGGCCCCGGGGTGGGGGGCTGAGGGTGCCCCTGGCCAGGCCCCTCTTGGGGTTCCCTGTGCCCCCCAACCTGTCCCCTCTTGGGGTTCCCTGTGCCCCCCAACCTGTCCCCACCCGGGGCTCCCTGTGCCCCCCAACCTGGCCCCACCCGGGGCTCCCTGTGCCCCCCAGGTGCCTGGAGGCGCTGCTGCTGGGGGACCGCGGGCCCTGCGTGTTGGCTGACACGGCCGAGCTGCCCACGCTGGCCGACATCCAGCTCGCCCACCTGAGGCTGCGGGAGCTCTGCCTGCCTGGTGAGTGGCACTGGGCGGACCCCGAGGACCCCCAAACTCCCCCTGGGGAGCTGGGAACCCCCCATTGAAACTCCCTCCCGTGGGATCCAGGCGCGGTGGCAGAGGAGAAGTGGCTCTCGGCCCTGGAGGGGACACGCTGGTTGGACCACGTCCGGTGAGCAGGGGGTCTTTGGGGTGTAGGGTGGTATTTTGGGGAAAATTCACCATAAATCCCATGGTGGAATGTCCGCCCCCAGCCCACCTGGCACTGTGGGGCAGTGGGGGCATTGTGGTGGGTGCATGAGCCACCCAAAGGGGTGACAGTGACATTTTGGGGTGCCCTGAAGCCCTGCTTTTGCCCCCCAGCTCCTGCCTGAGAAAAGCAGTGGAGGTGGCGTCGCTGCTGGCAGGGAAGCGCTGCTCCGTGGTTCTGCAAGGTGTGGGGCTGGAAAAGGACAGGAGGGGGCTGGAAAGGGGACCCCCATCATCACCACATTGCCCCCCCAGAGCCCTCGGACCGGGACCTGAACTGCCTGGTGGCCTCTCTGGTGCAGCTCCTGGGGGACCCCCACGCCCGCTCCCTGCCTGGCTTCCAGAGCCTGGTGCAGCGGGAGTGGGTGGCAGCCGGGCACCCCTTCCCACGCCGGCTGGGGCTGCTCTGCCAGGACAGCCCTCGGGAGGAGGTGAGACCCCCATTGCTGTCCCAGTGGGGTGACAGAAGCTGGGACAGCCCTCGGGAGGAGGTGAGACCCCCATTGCTGCCCCAGCGGGGTGACAGGAGCTGGGACAGCCCTCGGGAGGAGGTGAGACCCCC